GTACCCCCAGGCTCAGCACCCCCAGTCGTAGTACCCCCAGACTCAGCACCCCCAGGCTCAGCACCCCCAGGCTCAGCACCCCCAGGCGTAGCACCCACACGCTCAGCACCCCCAGAGTCAGCACCCCCAGGCTCAGCACCCTCAGCAGCACCAGAGTCACCAGCGACCTCGACAGGCTCAACAGCGTCTACCTGGGACACACCTGAAGGGGCAGGACCCTGAGGGGGGAGGGGGTCTACGGGGGGGGGACCTGGTACAAGGAAGAGCGGTGGCGGGGGGAGGGACGGAGTGCGGTAGGGGAAGAGGCGGTAGTAGGGGACCGACTCGTCGAACGTGACGTCCTGGGAGGACAGAACACGGCGAGAGGTGGGGTGGTAGAACTGCCACCCTGGGGCGTCAGGGGGGAAACCCAGGAAGACGCAAGGAGCAGCACGAGGGGACAGCTTGTCCGCAGACAAGTCGCGGACAAACGCCCGAGATCCCCAGACACGGAACGCAGACGCATCGCCAACCTTCCCCGTCCACAGCAAAGCTGGGGAGGTCTCCGGCCTGGAGACCCTGGGCTGAAGGTTGATCTGATGCGCCGCGTACCGAACCGCAAACGGCCACAGAAAATGGGGGGCAGCCGCATGCATCATGGACGTACGGGCGACGTCCATGACCATGCCAATGCGGCGCTCAGCAATCCCATTTTGCTGTGGAGAGTCCGGAAGCGTGAAGGTCTGGCGGATGCCTCGTGCACGACAGTAGGCTCGCAGAAGGCCAGAGGAGAACTCTCCGCCTCTGTCAGAGTGCAGACGCAGAACAGGAAAGTCCGAGCCAAAGCTCCGCCTGAGCTGGAGACGAGCTGCGCGGATCCAGTCGATCAACACCTCAGTGACATCACCCTTGCTGCGCAAGGGGAAGACTGTGGTGTAACGCGAGTAGTCGTCAACCACCAGCAGGAAGTAGCGCTCGTGACCCTGTCCACGGACGCGGGCCGGGCCCCACACGTCCATGTGAAGCGTCTGCAGCGGGGCCTCTGTCGGAGGAAACTGGGAGGAGTGAGGGGTAGCCCGCTGCCGTCCCTCGACACAGGGGACGCAGGTAGGGCCTGGCCCCGGAGGAAGGGGAGGGAGGGACCGGGGAAGACCAGAGACAAGGACACGGGAGGCCATGCTCCGGAGACGAAGCAAGGAGGGGTGGCTAAGGCGGTGGTGCCAGAGGAGAGTCTCGTGAGACAGGAGGCGACACGAGCAGGGGGCAGACTCAGGACCAGACCTGGACGCTGCAGCAAACACCTGACCCGACGCAGCTACCTGACCAGACGCAGGGACTGGAGGAGACGCAGTGGTCAGTGTGTACAGGCTCGACCCTGGCCGACGTGTAAACGTGGCCAGGTGGCGGCCTGTCCGAGCGTCCGTGCAGTGGGTCACCCGCTGACTCGCAGGAGTGAACTGGTGAACCCCCGCATCCTGTAGGTCAGCACCACTCACCAAGTTCGTAGAGAACGAGGGGAGGTAGAGACCAGACAGGGTGCCAGAGGGGGCCGCCGGACACGGGAGGACAGTGGAGAAGTGAGCAAGGACAGGACCCCCAGAGGGGTCTGCCAGGGAGACCGCAACTGGCCGGCCAAGCGGCGTGAGTGTGGTGCGGTCTCGAAAGAAGGAGCGAGAAGCCCCCGAGTCAAGTGTGAAGGTGTGGGAGGCCGAAGCCGACGCAGAACCTGAGAGAGCAGACTCACCAGCACCTGAGGGAGCAGACGCACCTAGAGCAGCAGCCTCGCTAGCACCTAGAGCAGCAGCCTCACCAGTACCTAGAGCAGCAGTCTCAATGCCCGGGTCGGGCGGAAAACACCGGTAACAGTCACCCTCATCACTAATAGTCACAGTATACACGGCAGCAAGAATAGCATCAAAGTCAAGGTCAAAGACAGCTACACCCGCCCTAGACAGCTCACCCCAGCGGGGGATCTCAGTGGCCTCAGGGAACTGGTGACGCCAAGCGTCCGTGAGGCGGCCAAAGCAGCGCTGGGTGGAGTGCGCACCCCCGCACTGCTCACCCGCGCGGTCGCCGGTGCGCAGGACGTAGGTGCACGGACCAGCACCCCCACCCCTCTGGCGTGCAGTGTACCACTCACGGAGCTGCTGAGGGGAGGGGACGTCACGAGTGCGCTGCTGCTGCTGCTGCTGCTGCTGCTGCTGGCGCTGACCACCACCGGAGCTGACCCTCTGCGCAGCGCCACCCCGACCAGCTCCACCTCCTCCGCCGCCTCCTCCTCCACCGCCGCCACCTCCGCTCCCTCCGCCACCGCCGCTGCCTCCTGCGCCTCCACTGCCGCCACCTACACCTCCACCCCCGCCACCACTCCCACCGCCACCCCCACCTCCTCCACCACCTCCACCGCCGCCTCCACCGCCCCCGCTAGCTCCTCCAGCGCCCCTGCCCCCCTTGCCCCTGCCAGGGCGGCGTCTCCCGCTAGGGGTAGACGCTGCCCCAACCGACTCCAAACCAGCGAGGTCGGCCGCAGCAGCAGAGGCAACAGAGGGCAAAAGAGGGGAGGGGGAACACCCCTCAAAGATGGGGGTGCGAGGGTCACCACGAGAGGCTCCTACAGCGACTATGCTCTTTTCTGCTGCTAGGAGGGCCTTCTCGAGGAGGTCAACGGTGAGAGTGGTGGGACAAACCGAGAGGAAGTGGTTCCTGACTACGCGAAGGGAGTCAGGGAGACAGGTGACTATGTAGTAGAGGGTGATGTACATGGGGGGGGGGTTCTTGGCGCAGAACTCAGCAGGAAGCGCAGCGCGGTAGCGAGTGTCACTAGAGCGGAGGTGCGTAATGAGGTCAGCGACTGTGGGAAAGGCAGCAAGGTCAGGGAAGAGGTACGGTAGCATGAGGCGGCTCAGTGCAGCAGTGGCAGGGGAGGAGTAGCGTGCAACTACAGCGTCGTACAAGGTCTGAGCACTCTTGTACTGGCTAAAGTGCGCACGCTCAGAGGTAGGGAGGTGGCGACGCACAGCAAGACGTGCAGCAGCATCGCGCGTGGCCCACTGTGAGCGAACGGTGGCGTCAGCATCAGCAGCGGGGGCAGGAGAGGCACCAGAAGTGAGGTCAAAGAGGGAGAGGCCGTCTGCTCTGTCGCACTGTAAGAAAAGCTGCAGGTCATCTATCCAGACGTCAAAGTCAATGGCCCGACCCTCAGCGTCAAAAGCGAGGACACTCGGGGTAGCCATGACAGCAGTAGACTAGCAGTGCAAACAGTAGGGCGAGGGCAGTGCTGTGAGAGAGGCGCTGCTCTTACCGGACAGGGCGGTTCGGGCGGCTCGGCTGCAGGGCGGCTCGGCGGCTCGGCGGCTCGGCGGCTGGGCGGCTCGGCGGCGGGGCGGCTCGGCTGCTGGGCGGCTCGGCTGCGGACAGGGCGGCTCGGCGGCTGGGCGGCTCGGCGGCTCGGCTGCTGGGCGGCTCGGCTGCTGGGCGGCTCGGCTGCTGGGCGGCTCGGCGGCTGGGCGGCTTGGCTGCTGGGCGGCTCGGCGGGGCCGCTGAGAGGGCGGCGTCCGGCGCCGCTGGGAGGAGGCGGCGGGGCCGCAAAGGTAAGTGGCGGGGCCGCGGAGGTAGGTGGCGGGGCCGCACAGTGAGGTGGCGGGGCCGCGAAGGTAGGTGGCGGGGCCGCACAGGTAGGTGGCGGGGCCGCGGAGGTAGGTGGCGGGGCCGCACAGTGAGGTGGCGGGGCCGCGAAGGTAGGTGGCGGGGCCGCACAGGTAGGTGGCGGGGCCGCGGAGGTAGGTGGCGGGGCCGCACAGTGAGGTGGCGGGGCCGCGAAGGTAGGTGGCGGGGCCACACAGGTAGGTGGCGGGGCCGCACAGGTAGGTGGCGGGGCCGCGGAGGTAGGTGGCGGGGCCGCGGAGGTAGGTGGCGGGGCCGCACAGTGAGGTGGCGGGGCCGCGAAGGTAGGTGGCGGGGCCGCGGAGGTAGGTGGCGATGGGCGCGACGGGCGCGACGGGCGCGACGTGCGCGACGGGCGCGACGGGCCGAAAGGGCGGCGCGACTCGGGCCGGCGCAAAACGCGCTCCGGGCAGGAAAAAAAAAATTTCGTGGTGGTGGGCCCTAGGAATCGTTCCCACTAGGGAACCTGCTCGATACCATGAGAAGAAACGAGGAATGCAATGACTAAGTGAAAGTTGGGTACAAGAAGCAAACCCTAGACAACTGTACCCCATATGTGCTACCCCACTATAGCCTACAGTAGCTATGTCATATAAATCTGACATTGCTCTATCTGCTCTGTTCGGCTGTTTGAATTTTGAGATTTCAAACTTGAGAACTCTGTGCCAACCCTAGCCCACGACCATAGCTACTAACCTCACCTTACACCATGCCTAGCGTTCGGTACCAACCCTGGCCGACCACCACAGCCACTTACCCCAGATATCCGCCAGGCCTAGCGTCCAGTTCTCAACTGAGTAAGGGAACGTCACCTGCTGTGAACGCGTTACCATACCTCACCTCCCTCCCCAAGCCTGATTCAGTGACACAGTCATTACCACAGATTGCCACCAGGCCTTGCGTCCAGTTCAGCTTTGCTACGGATCGTCAACTGCTGTCGGCGCGTTGCCTCACCGCACCTCATTCCCAAGCCTGATTCAGTGACGAGCCTTACTTTCCACCGTCTCACCAGGAGTCACGCTATTTTCGTAATATATAATGGCGGGTCCGCCTCATTTTCCGCACAAACTTACCGAGAATCACTCTTCAAAGCTTCTCTACTTCTTCCATCATGGAACAGTCTAACGCAACTGCTTCCGCCCTAATCTCTTCCATCCGCGGGCGTCGCCAAAATGGCCGGTTTCCTGCGATGCCCGGAACCCAGGCAATTCGTGCTGCATCGATGGGACATGCTACCTCTCTCGGTATCAACGTGGCGGCTCGACCATCTTCTCCGAAAAGTGAGTTTTTTGATGTTGTTTTGTTGCACACCATTTTACGCTCTGTTTCTAGCTTCCTTGTGTTGATTCCGCGGGCCAATGAGAGATATTGACACATTGTTGCTGGATCTCATTTGTGCAGGTCCTGTTCGGACGCGCTCCTTACACGCTGTGTTTTCCGACGCGGTAGGAAGTCAGCCGCGTCACGAGGAGAATCGGCCGCTCAACACCAGTGGTCATGCTCCACAAATCCCGGCCTCGCGTGGTGATGCGACTTCCGCTCACGTCAATGGCGTGGGAACGCGATCTGCTCACCATTCTCTGCGTTCCGGAAGTCAGGGCCGGTCGGGTAGGCGGCGAGCAGGTCAGGCGGCCCGCCAGAGTTCCGCCAATGCCGCAGGGCGCACGTCTGCTGCTGCTGGCGCAGGCCAGCAGTTCCGCCACGCTGCAGGGAGCAACACCGCCGCTGATGCATCTGGCGGGCTGCTTGGCGAGACCGCTGGGCGCACGTCTGCTGCTGCTGGCGCAGGCCAGCAGTTCCGCCACGCTGCAGGGAGCAACACCGCCGCTGATGCATCTGGCGGGCTGCTTGGCGAGACCGCTGGGCTGACGTCTGCTGCTGCTGGCGCAGGCCAGCAGTTCCGCCACGCTGCAGGGAGCAACACCGCCGCTGCTGCATCTGGCGGGCTGCTTGGCGAGACCGCTGGGCTGACGTCTGCTGCTGCTGGCGCAGGCCAGCAGTTCCGCCACGCTGCAGGGAGCAACACCGCCGCTGATGCATCTGGCGGGCTGCTTGGCGAGACCGCTGGGCTGACGTCTGCTGCTGCTGGCGCAGGCCAGCAGTTCCGCCACGCTGCAGGGAGCAACACCGCCGCTGATGCATCTGGCGGGCTGCTTGGCGAGACCGCTGGGCTGACATCTGCTGCTGCTGGCGCAGGCCAGCAGTTCCGCCACGCTGCAGGGAGCAACACCGCCGCTGCTGCATCTGGCGGGCTGCTTGGCGAGACCGCTGGGCTGACGTCTGCTGCTGCTGGCGCAGCCCAGCAGTTCCGCCACGCTGCAGGGACGACCTCGGCCTACACTGCACCGGGCGGTCAGCTGCGCCAGGCCGCTGGGAGCAGCTCTCCTGACCCTCCATCTGGCGGTTTGTTCCGCCAGCCTGCGGGTCTGACCTCCGGCGATCCTGCACCTGGTGGTTCGTTGGGGCAAACCGCATTGAACAGCTCTCCTGATCCTGCACCAGGCGGTCCGTTTAGCCAGGCCGCTGGGAGGAGCTCTCCTGACCCTGCATCAGGTTGTCGGTCGGGGCACGAGGATGGGAGGAGATCCGCTGACCCTTCAGCTGGCGGCCAACTGGGACAAGTGGCTGGGTGGAGCTCTGCCAACACTCCTACTGGCGCTCATTTGGTCCAGACCGCTGGAAGACCTACAGCCGACCATGCTCCTGACGAGATGCGCACGATAGCTGCTGGGCACACCTCCACTGAGACCCATGATGGCAGCATGTTCCTGCCGTCATGCGAACCGGTTCCGGACGCCCCTTCCTGCCCGTCTGCTGGCATGACCTCTGCCGACCCTGCTGTTGATGGCGTGTTAGGCCAGGCTGCTTGGAGGACCGACGCCAATCCTGTTGCTGGCGTGCTGCTAAGGCCAACCGCGAGGCGCATCCCCGACGACACCAACACTAACGGCGTGTTCTCCCCGCCTGGAGGCGCCGAGCTTGGCGGCCACTTTGGCGAGGCCAATGGGAGGACCTGGACCAACTCTGGAGCAGACGAGCCGCTCATCCCGAACGCTGGTGGAACCGAGGCCGGTGATGCTGTGGGCGGTCAGACAGGAGATGCGTATGGGCGGGCCACTACACACGCTGCTGATCATGAACTGCACGGGCATGTGGCAGAACCGACCTCTGATGTTGAAGAGGCGCGTGCCGCACATCGTGCTCTCCAGCGTGAGAACCAGCGGCTGTTGAATGAGCTTGAAGAGCTTAGGCGTTCGCTTTCTCGGTCAACGTCACCTGCTGAGACCTCTGGTGGTGCGGGCGAGCAGCAGGAACCGTCTCCAAACTCTGGGAATGTCGCAGCTAATGTGCAGCCAGGAAGGCATCCCATCGTACCGATCAACGATCGGCTGCTTGGGAGGGCCGTTGGGAACGCTCACGCCCGGGGAACCGAGCATGGCCTGCAACACTTGACCCCGGAGCAGGAGGTCCTCGCATTCGACCTTGCTGCAGCGATGAGGCGAGTCCCCGAGGTCAACAAAGGGCTTTATGTAAGCACCTTCCATGCTGGCACGCCATCCACATTCTTATGTTTTTCGCCTCTCATGCTTACGCAGGCAACAGTTTCTCTATCTCGTATCTTGGTTTTCAATGTAACACACCCTCAACATGCTGCGTGTGTTACTTCCCCACTGTCACCAGGTGGCAATGTTGGATGCACTCACCGTTCTTTTCTGGGATATGCCGGATGGTAGGATGGACTTCTGGCCATCTCAGAAGGTGCTGCTGGGAGCGCTTGCTGCTGCTTTGAAGTACAAGACGGTTGGTCAGCGGACCGACCTGCTTCATGTGTATCTTTTTGACCCAGTTCGACGTGGCTATATCCGCAACAAGCTGCAGGATGGACGGCATGTCATTCTGCATACCGGTCGATGCGGTATTTACAGAGCGTTTGACTTGTACATTCAACGCCCCGACCAAAACCGCAAGCTCATGGGTTCCACCTTGATCGAGGCGTGGAAAGTGCAATACAAGCCAGGTATGTCTCTGTTGCCCCACTACCTGGAAGGAAATGTTTTTGATCCCATATCCATATGAGCAGCCTGGCTGCTGCATGCCTGTAGTCGAGGCTAGGCAATCACCTCACCCCACCCCACTTCACTCCACTCCCCTCTTTCCTTCCCGTCCCCTGCTCAGGTAAAAAATTGCCAACAAAGTGCTAATTGGAGATTCAGGGGAGGGTGCTGAAAGAAACCCTTTTCATCCAACCTCCATCCATCAACTCCCGCTCCCGTCCTCTTTCCCCTGCCTTCGCACCCCCATATCCCTGTGAGCAGCCTCCCTGCTGCATGCCTTCTATCGCCAGAAGTAGTCGAGACTAGGCAATCACCTCACCACCCAACCCCCTTCACCACTCCCGTCACTCATTCCCTTCCCCTGCTCAATCAATAAAACCGCCTGTAGATTGCTCGCAGGAGATTCAGGAGAGCTTTATGAAACAAAAAAGTTCAAAACGTTTTTATCACACCCCCTTTACGTCAACTCCCGCTTCCCTTCTCTCTGTCCTGCCTTCTCACTACATATCCCTGTTAGCAGGCCTCGTACTGCATGCCTTTTCCGCCAGCTGTGGTCGAGGCTAGGCAATAACCTTACCCTACCACCCTTCTCTCCACTCCCCTCTCTCCTTCCCGTCCCTCTCAGTGAACTAAGCCGCCAGCAGTGATGCTCATAGGAGATATCAATAAGCATGCTAGAAATTTCGCTCTCATTCCACCTCCTCTCAACACCCGCTTTCCTTCTCTCTCCCCTATAACTCAACCCACATCTCAGCAGCCCCACAGGTGCATGCTTTGTATCGCCATCCGTAGTCGAGGCTAAGCAATCACCTCACACCAACCCCCTTTCCTCCACTCCCCTCTCTCATTCTCGTCCCTATTCATTGAAAAAAACCGCCAGCATAGTGCTCACAGGCGATTCAGGGGAGGTTGCTGAGGAATTTGTTCTCATCCCCCACCTCCTTCTCTCAACACCCGCTTCCCTTCTCTCTCCCCTAAACCCTTCTCACCCCATATCTCAGCAGTCCCACTGGTGCACAGCTGGTATCGCCGGCTGTAGTCGAGGCTACGCAATCCTCCACCCCACCCTCCTCTACTCCACTCCCCTCTCTCCTTCCCGTCCTTATGTGAAAAACCGCCAGCATAGTGCTCACAGGCGATTCAAGGGAGGGTGCTGAAGACTCTGTTCTCATCCCACCTTGTCTCAACTCCCACTTCCCTCCTCTCTCCCATGTGCCTTCCCCAAATCCTTGTGAGTAGACTCCCTGTTCCATGCCTTGTATCGCCAGCTGTAGTCGGGGCTAGGCAATAACCTCACCCCACCCCCCTTCACTCCCCTCTCTCCTTCCCTTCCCCTGCTCAGTGACAAAACCGACAGCTGAATGAGAGTCAGGGGCGCTGGCTGGAATATGGTTCTCATCCCTCTTCTGTTTAATCCGGCCCCGTCTTCTCTCCCTATGTTGCTTCTGTTATGCAATCCCATCTGTTTTGCAATGCCTGAATGTGTGTGCAGTCGATGGGTCTTACGATCTGTACACGTGGCATTGCAACCAGAACGGGGTCCCTTTCTCCAACGCTGTCTTCACCAGGCCTCACGTTTTCAGAGTAAATTACTCAGTTTCTCTGAAAATCAGAGTCATTTTTGAAAGTAACTCTTGTCAGAACATATATAGCTCATGCATATTGTGTAGGCTATAGTGGGTAGCCCATAAGGGGTACAACCCAATTAGGGTTAGTACTTGTACCCAATTCATTCATAGTTCATTCATTCCTCGTTTCTTCTCATGGTATCGAGCAGGTTCCCTAGTGGGAACGCTTCCTAGGGCCCACCACAAAATTTTTTTTTCCTGCCCGGAGCGCGCTTCGCTCCCACAGTCGCGCCCTCTCACGACCCCTCACGGCCCCTCGCGTCGCCCTTAGCGGCCCCTTACGGCCCCTCACGCCGTCCCTTACGGCCCCTAGCGCGGCCCCTTACGGCCCCTTACGGCCCCTAGCGCGGCCCCTTACGGCCCCTCGTGCCGCCCGTCGGCCCCTTACGGCCCCTTACGGCCCCTCGCGCGGCCCCTTACGGCCCCTTACGGCCCCTCGCGCCGCCCGTCGGTCCCTCGCACCGCCCTCAGCGGCCCCTTACGGCCCCTCGCGCCGTCCCTTACGGCCCCTCCCGCGGCCCCTCACGGCCCCCCCCCTACGGCCCGTCGCCGCCCACCGCGGCCCCTCGCGCCGCCCCTTCACGGCCCGTCGCCGCCCTCCGCAGCCCCTCGCGCCGCCCCTTCACGGCCCGTCGCCGCCCTCCGCGGCTCCTCGCGTCGCGGCCCCTCGCACCGTCCCTTCCGGCCCCTCGCGCGGCCCCTTACGCCCCTTACGGCCCCTCCCGCGGCCCCTCACGCCCCCCCCCCCCCCCCCTACGGCCCGTAGCCGCCCTCCGCGGCCCCTCGCACCGCCCTCTCCGGCCCACTGTCGCCGCCCCTACCGCAGCGGCCGCCACCACCTCCCTCGGGGCCGCGGCTGCTGCCGCAGCTGACTGCACCCGCCGACGCCGCTCCACTCGGCCCCGCCGCCGCTCCCCACGCGGCCTCGCCGCGCCACCTGAGCCGCCCGTACCGCCGAGCCGCCGTACCGCCCGAGCCGCCGTACCGCCCGAGCCGCCCGAGCCGCCGTGTCGCCGAGCCGCGCTTGCTGCCGAACCGCCGTACTACCGAGCCGCCCGAGCCGCCCAAGCCGCCGAGTTGCCGAGCCGCCGAGCCGCTGAGCCACCCGAGTCGCCCTGTCCGGTAAGTGCAGCGCCTCTGTCCCTGCACTGCCCTCACCCTACTGTTCGCGCTGCTAGTCTACTGCTGTCATGGCTACCCCTAGTGTCCTCGCCTTTGACGCTGAGGGTCGGGCCATTGACTTTGACGTCTGGGTAGATGACCTGCAGCTTTTCCTACAGTGCGATAGGGCAGACGGTCTCTCCCTCTTTGACCTCACCTCTGGTGCCTCTCCTGCCCCTGCTGCTGATGCCGACGCCACTGTTCGCTCACAGTGGGCCACTCGCGATGCTGCTGCACGTCTTGCTGTGCGTCGCCACCTGCCTACCTCTGAGCGTGCGCACTTTAGCCAGTACAAGAGTGCTCAGACCTTGTACGACGCTGTAGTTGCGCGCTACTCCTCCCCTGCCACTGCTGCACTGAGCCGCCTCATGCTACCGTACCTCTTCCCTGACCTTGCTGCCTTTCCCACAGTCGCTGACCTCATTACGCACCTCCGCACTAGTGACACTCGCTACCGCGCTGCGCTTCCTGCTGAGTTCTGCGCCAAGAACCCCCCCCCCATGTACATCACCCTCTACTACATAGTCACCCGGCTCCCTGACTCCCTTCGCGTAGTCAGGGACCACTTCCTCTCCGTTTGCCCCACCACTCTCACCGTTGACCTCCTCGAGAAGTCCCTCCTAGCAGCAGAGAAGAGCATAGTCGCTGTAGGAGCCTCTCGTGGTGACCCTCGCACCCCCATCTTTGAGGGGTGTTCCCCCTCCCCCCTTTTGCCCTCTGTTGCCTCTGCTGCTGTGGCCGACCTCGTTGGGCTTGAGTCGGTCGGTGCGGCGTCTACCCCTAGCGGGAGACGTCGCCCTGGCAAGGGCAAGGGGGGCAGGGGCACTGGAGGAGCTAGCGGGGGCGGTGGAGGCGGCGGTGGAGGCGGTGGAGGGGGTGGGGGTGGCGGTGGGAGTGGTGGCGGGGGCGGAGGTGTCGGTGGCGGCAGTGGAGGCGGAGGCGGCGGTGGCGGTGGCGGTGGGAGCGGAGGTGGCGGCGGTGGAGGAGGAGGCGGCGGAGGAGGTGGAACTGGTCGGGGTGGCGCTGCACAGAGGGGCGGCTCCGGTGGTGGTCAGCGCCAGCAGCAGCAGCAGCAGCAGCAGCGCACTCGTGACATCCCCTCCCCTCAGCAGCTCCGTGAGTGGTACACTGCACGCCAGAGGGGTGGGGGTACTGGCCCGTGCACCTACGTCCTCCGCACCGGCGACCGCGCGGGTGAGCAGTGCGGGGGTGCGCACTCCACCCAGCGCTGCTTTGGCCGCCTGACGGACGCTTGGCGTCACCAGTTCCCTGAGGCCACTGAGATCCCCCGCTGGGGTGAGCTGTCTAGGGCGGGTGTAGCTGTCTTTGACCTTGACTTTGATGCTATTCTTGCTGCCATGTATACTGTGACTATTAGTGATGAGGGTGACTGTTACTGGTGTTTTCCGCCCGACCCGGGCATTGAGACTGCTGCTCTAGGTACTGGTGAGGCTGCTGCTCTAGGTGCTAGCGAGGCTGCTGCTCTAGGTGCGTCTGCTCCCTCAGGTGCTGGTGAGTCTGCTCTCTCAGGTTCTGCGTCGGCTTCGGCCTCCCACACCTTCACCCTTGACTCGGGGGCTTCTCGCTCCTTCTTTCGAGACCGCACCACACTCACGCCGCTTGGCCGGCCAGTTGCAGTCTCTCTGGCAGACCCCTCTGGGGGTCCTGTCCTTGCTCACTTCTCCACTGTCCTCCCGTGTCCGGCGGCCCCCTCTGGCACCCTGTCTGGTCTTTACCTTCCCTCGTTCTCTACGAACTTGGTGAGTGGTGCTGACCTACAGGATGCGGGGGTTCACCAGTTCACTCCTGCGAGTCAGCGGGTGACCCACTGCACGGACGCTCGGACAGGCCGACATCTGGCCACGTTTACCCGTCGGCCGGGGTCGAGCCTGTACACCCTGACCACTGAGTCTCCTCCAGTCACTGCGTCTGGTCAGGTAGCTGCGTCGGGTCAGGTGTTTGCTGCAGCGTCCAGGTCTGGTCCTGAGTCTGCCCCCTGTTCGTGTCGCCTCCTGTCTCACGAGACTCTCCTCTGGCACCACCGCCTTGGTCACCCCTCCCTGCTTCGTCTCCGAGGCATGGCCTCCCGTGTCCTTGTCTCGGGTCTTCCCCGGTCCCTCCCTCCCCTTCCTCCGGGGCCTGGCCCTACCTGCGTCCCCTGTGTCGAGGGGCGGCAGCGGGCTGCCCCTCACTCCTCCCAGTTTCCTCCGACAGAGGCCCCGCTGCAGACGCTTCACATGGACGTGTGGGGCCCGGCCCGCGTCCGTGGACAGGGTCACGAGCGCTACTTCCTGCTGGTGGTTGACGACTACTCGCGTTACACCACACTCTTCCCC